CGAGTACTTGTCAGTCTCTCTAGGTCCTAGAAGCCCCCGCTTTGCTGGTATACCACGATGGCAGGGCCTGCATGTAGGAGCTAGATGTAAGCTGAGCGAACTAGAACTCCAGACTTTGTTTTAAAACTAACCGCCTTCTTCGATTGCTGCGACTCACTCACTGGCATCTATCAGCCATTGCAACTCAGCACCCTTCACTATGGCAGCATTACATGGGTAGGTCAGTGAAAATGATACAGGAAACATTGTCTTCTTGCTTACCTCTGTAATACCCTGTTCAGGAACCTGATCACAGTCGGAGTGGGTTGGTCTGTTCAAAGACCTGATCCGTTCCGTATATGATCCCAAAAAAAATCTACCTTCAAACTTGAAGCGTGAAAGCGGCTGATCCGTGTTGCACTCGCTGTATCCGTGGGATGCCGCAGCGGAGCAGTTGTAGCGACCGAGACTGTTGATGATAACGCTGTCCCACATAGGCACGATGCCCGGGGAGGTGTGGTACAGATCGGCGATCTGAAGTGTATACTCCGCTGCAACCTCCTGTTCCCAGGACTGTTGCTTGTCCGCTGGAGCGTGGACGATCAGTGGACCTCGGAGGCCGAACGCGTACTGCGTTGCATGGTGACTGTGCCACCAGAAGGTACCAGCTCGCTCCGGTGTGAACGTGTAGACAGCAGAGCCACCCGCTGGGATTTCACATTGAGTGATGTCCGAGGTGCCGTCCATTTCTTGGGTGCCTAGTTGCTGGAGTCCGTGCCAGTGAAGACAAGTTGGTTCGTTCAGTTCGTTGGTGACAGTCACTTGGACGGTTTGCCCCAATTCGAGCTCAATGAGAGCAAGGGTGGCGACATCACCGTTGATACCGTATTCGGTCAGCGAGACGCCATCACATGCCGTGGAGACGTACGTCACCCGCCAGTCGTAGGTGACTGTAGAATTGTCAGCCGCTGTGTCAGCAATAAAAATACTCAGCAGAGCCACGAAGAAGCGAGCGTAGTCCATGGAGACGGAGGATTGTACTGGAAGTGGTATGGTCCAGTGTTGATGGAAGAGCGCAAATTGAAAAATGACTAGTTCAACCGTAAAGCAAGTATCTCACTTGAAATGGAGGATTATCAAACGATCTTCAATAGACGTCCACCCAGGAGCAACAGTGTAGCCGTCGACTACTAGTCTACACTTCACAATCTCTCGGATCCTACATTTGTTTGCGCTTCCTGTGACTGCAAAGGTCATTTACCCAACCATTCACACCAAATTCAGGCCAAAATTTCAGGCCAGGATCTCGACTGTCTGTCAAGTGAAGGGCTTTGCCTTTGACGGACGGGTACATTCCGGAGATCGAGGACGGAAAAGTCAAGTTTAAATCACCATTCCAACCGGTTGAAGGGTGTCGGGATGGCATCGACGGGAGCGCCGGCGCTTGCGATCGAATCACTGACTCAACATCGTGGAAGCGTACAGTATTGATCCTTTCGATTTCCGTTCGCACTGTAGGTACATGCTCAGAAGCGTTTGCAACGTGCGGCGGCCACGATGGACAAGTTTGTGGAGCCCGTTGTTGAAAACTGACTGCTGACGGACAGCGAGATATTTTCATGTACCTTACGAATACATGAAGCTTCACTTTCATCCTTCCAGCTTGATTCAAACTTTGCATTTCAAGCACGGATTCACGGATGTCAAGACGACCTAAGTCGTCATCTACGGACGTTCTTACGTACTGTGTGCCCACGCGCTTCGTCTTATAGTGTCAATGGCTGAATTGCGAGCGAGGAGGGAAGTGAGGATATCACAAAATGTGACGTGGGAGATATGTCGGGAGCGGCGAGTCCTCAATTCATGGAAACTTCAACGTTTTGAATCGATGCGGTAAACAGTCTGCAGTTCACAATGCTGTGCAATCCTTGAGTTCGATGCCTTGGCACCTAACATTGTAATCTTACAATATAAGAAGTGCTGCATTGTAGCAATACATAGTGGACTGAGCCTCCTACCCAGAATCTCGGTTATACTCCCCACCAATGGTATAGCGAAGACTTACATGTAGGTAGGTTAAAATCAATTCACGTTAATTGATTTATGGGTTGAACCGAGACAAGGTTAAATTTGCGTTAATTAAATAAGTAATACAAATATTCTGTCCTAATACATGTAGTATGGTGCACCAATCAAGAGAAAACGAATTGTGATCCTCGGCTCGGCTACATCGCTTATTCTTGTTGTTGGATTCAGGAATTTATCCTGAGTTAGCTACAGTTTTCGTGGTGCAGCGCCGGGATTTTGACACTGCTACTTGAACTATCGTGGTCATTATCAAATTATTAATCAGCAGCTCCATGCATCCACTAAACTTGTACCTATAAGACACTTTCATGGTCAAGTATTTATACTGGACCTACGCAGCGAATACCCCCAACAATTGTGCGATGTACTCTTGCCGGGGTTCCTTCTGACTTCCAGCGAGGAAATCCAAGGACGAGATCCAGCATCGACAAGGACTGGAGCGGCTTGGTTTAATCTGTGATAATTCGCGTCTTCGTTTTTTAAACAATATAACCATTAAATACGGCACTATTCTAAAATAGTGCCAAATTTACATATCAAGACTAAATTTTACGGGCATCAAGCCCCGAGCGAGTTCAGGAGTGTATAGTTAGGAATTCTAACACAAATACATGACCTCTTTTCCACCCACATACCAAGACTAAACTGGTGAAAATGTCTCCGTAGTGGACTGAAATGATCAAAGTGATTTTGTTCAGTTTGAAAATAATTACCGCAAAAAAGTATTGTTGACTGGTAGAAATGGACAGTATTTTTATTTACTTTTCATCATTTTTGCTTTTCTGGACTCGTACCACTTTCACATTTTTAAAAGTGTTTTCTTTACTCTTTTTTAATTTTCTTTTAAAAAAACACTTTTGTTTATAAAAAAGTGAAAACCAATTCTGAAAAAAGCGTTTTTTACTTTTAAGATTTTTAAAGAAATACGAGTAAAAAGAAGTAATGATAAAACTAAAAAATATTTTGGAAATATAGATTTGAGGGATCCCGCAAAGAGTTTTGTAAATGGTGAAGCTTTGATGGAATATGTCCTAGTAGACTGCTGCCCACCCAACAAGTTGAAGTGCGTGAGACGGAATTCATTGCCACCTCGAAAGCACAATGTATGCTGCATCGAGCAAACCTGGCGTTAACGATAGTTCCAAAGTGAACGATATCCAATTCGGCAACTAAGAATGAAAATCCGTCACTTCACTATTACAGCTTTAGTCTACGGAAAACGGGAGACCCACTACCTCGCTTGGCCTCCCCCATACAAGTTAGAGGTACTCACTCGTCACACAAATTCCTTTGAAGCAGTCTACCCTTACAGGGTGAAGTTTCCGTTGCACACACTCATCAGCATGTTGGACGAGAACGCACCCAGACCTTCGTCATGAAGAACGTCCTCTGCTTCTACGAACAGCATGGCCAACCCAAGCACAAAATGCCAGTCAATGTGGCAGTGCATAAGCCACACGCCCGGGTTGTCGGCGTTCAAGCGGAAGACGACGTAGCCGAGGTCGGTGCAAGCGCCATCAGCGTCGGTCATACACTCGGGCACCGTGAAGACGTCGTGCTGCATAGGTCCGTTCAGCCGCAAGGCCGTCACATTGCCCGCCAGGATGTTATCACGGGAGGCGTGACCACTTCCGACGATCCACGGAGAGTGGGCGTGCAGGTGGAACGGGTGCTGGTCCGGCGTCTCGTTCACCACCACCACTTCAACATGGTCGTTGTGCTTGAGTTTGATAGCGTTGGCCGTGGTTGGTAGCTCCTCTGTCTTAGCGCCTTGGGCGATAGTGAAGAGTGGTGGGCTATCGGGAATCACCAGCGAGCTGAAGTCACCGCCGTCGAGAGCCATGTAACCGAGGAAAGCCGTCGGGTTCGGAGCAAGTACACCAAGCGTAAACTCAGCGACGATACGTTGATCAGGTGCTGTCGGGAGAGTCACTGGAACGGCCGGGTTGTAGTCGAATTCTCCGATAGTCACCTCTGTCGCCCACGCTGACGTCGTCGGGTCTGCCTTTGCTCCAGCTTGGTAATCAATGATAGCGAGTGCGTCGGGGTTGAATCCTTCCGGGACCTGGTCGGCTTCGCGAGCCGTCCAAGGAATGCCGAATGGAGAGTGCACACGCAGCCAGAAGGAGCCAAGCGCCGTATTCTTCCCACCAGTCTGACCTTGCTTCTGGCTCTGGCTTTGACCCTGGCCTTGGCCCTGAGATGCCGACGACTTGGCCTGTACGAGAATGTCATAGCGTTGAGCCACGTTGATCGTCACTGAGTTAACAGGCGTCGAAGGTTTGAGGTAGTCAGCGTCACTTGCCACCACTTGGAACGTGTGGCCGTCAATACTGACTTTGAACGCCGCCATAGCCGACGTGTTGATCAGGCGAAGCAGGTATTTCTTGCCCGGTACGAACTGGAAGCGAGGCAATGGACGACCAGGGCCACACTCGAAACCAGCAGCCTCCGCCACGGTGCAATTGTAGCGCCCGACGTTGTTGATCAGCACGGTGTCCCAGATGGGAGCACCGACCGGCAAGTCGTGGTACCAGTCGGTCAACATGATCGTGTACTCCTTGTAGACATCCTTCTCCCAGCTCTGCTGTAGTTTAGGAGGACAGTGGACGATGAGGGGTCCACGGAGACCGTAGGCGTACTGCACTTCCTCGTGACCGTGGAACCAGAAGGTGCCGCACTTGTCGGGTTTGAATCGGTAGATGGCCGTCACGTTCGGCTGGATCTGGCACTGCGTGATGCCGGAGACGCCGTCCATTTCTTGAGTACCGAATTGCCGCAGCCCGTGCCAGTGGAGACACGTCTGCTCCGTGAGCTTGTTGGTCACGTGCACCTCAACCTCATCGCCGAACGTGACGTTGATAGGGTGGAGATCAGCCAGTTCGTTGTTGATGCCGTAGCCAAATTTGCCCCGAACGCCGTCGAAGATGGTGGTGTTGAGCGTCGTGATGTTCCAGTCGTAGCGGACGACACGGGCCGAAGCTTGAGTGGCGCTGAGAAGAAGAAAACTCAGAGTGGAGAGAAGACCCATCGAAGCTGAAGTCGAAGGTTGGACACGAAGTACTGGGGAGGGGAGTGAAGCTTGAGCAGGAGGAAGCAAATTCCGGAATGAGCTGGAAGTGCCGACGGGCACTGAGTTGATGTGGCCACCAACGTTGCGTCTATCTAGCATCGAGGATGACCATCGATGTTCTAGATGCTGTAGCCACTAGAAAAGAGAAACACAATATTGTCTCTTGCATGTTGAGTTGAGATCATTTTGGTGTCCGAAAGAGACGTGATTTCTTGAAGTTGTCATCAAGACTGAAGAGACGTCTAATCAATTGGATCACAGTGGTGAAAAATCGAACCCGGTCAACGCACATCTGGCGTTTGCTGTATCATACCTGGCACAGCACCGACGATTGATGAAGATTCAATCCACGAAAGACGCCGCCATGGGTTGACGCCGTCCAATGAACGTCACCCCGAAAATTTCTGTCAAGAGCAGCATCGATGTTGTCTCCACCGCCGGGTACATTTTCGAATCGTGAATGAAGCATTTCCTTCACCTGGTCGAGGTGAAGCGACTTTGCTAAAAAGAAACACTCTACGCTGATTACATCGCAATTGGGTTACCGCAAACAAATTTCGAATCGTGACGTTTCAGTGGTGATCCTCTTGGAAAAGCTGGCAACCTACAGTCGGCGATCGATTGAAGAAACTACAACAGGGCTTCAGTATTAGGTGGCTACGCTAAACCAAAGATACGCGGTAGTTGTCTTCATGGACGCCTGAGTCGTCAGCCTGGAGGCAACAATGGCCATTTACGCCGCTCCTTTCCTCAGTCAAATGCTGCCCTGTCCTCTGAATCTTCCACCACTTCAACGATCTTCCGGGATACAGAGCGTTTAACCTCGCTGGCGTTGCTCTCACTCTCCATTTCGCCTCCCCGGCGCCCAAAGTAACTCGCCATGGGTTTTCTGGTCCTCTTGACGCTCTTCTGCCTCGCCATTCACCACACTGCCAACGCGGCTTCTTGCATGGAGGCTGTAGTTTACTACGACTTCCGAGTCACGTACATCACTTCCGCTTTCGACGGCGTCGCGCTTACCTCGTTCGGCATCAATGACCGCCCGGCTCACGAAGCTCTGATCGAGGCGACTCTGGGGCAACAAGTCCAGGTGACCGTCACTAACGAACTGGACGAGCCCACGTGTCTACACTGGCATGGACTCAGGCAGCTCGGCACCCAGGAGATGGACGGACTCTCGGGCATCACACAGTGCTACATTCCTCCCAACACCACCGCACTGTACCATTTCGAACCGGACAAGGCCGGTAGCTTCTGGTGGCACAGTCACCACAGTACTCAGTACCCGTACGGTCTCCGTGGACCTCTGGTGGTCCACCCTCGCGAGGACCAACTACAACCGTGGGAGATGGACATCTACGCCGAATACAACGTCCAACTGGCGGACATTTACCACGGAGATCCAGGTGTGCCGCCCATGTGGGACTCCGTCTTGATCAACAACCGTGGCCGCTACAATTGCACCGCTGCAGCCACGCATGGCTTCACTGAGTGCTCAGAAGACCAGCCACTCACTCGATTTCGCTTCGAAACGGGTAAAACGTATCTTCTCCGTCTCATGTCCATGAGTGCACTGGCCCCGTTCGAGTTCAGCATCGACGAGCATCAACTCCGCGTCATTGCAGCGGACGGAGACTCACTCGAGCCATCTGAGCTCATCACCAACATCACTATTAACATCGGACAGAGATACGATCTCCTAGTGACGGCCAAGAATGCCACGGATAAACCCATCGGCTCCTTCTGGATGAGAGCGACGGGTCTCAATGGTCTGCCCTGGACAGCAGCGACTGGAGCTAACGCTGGTGAAGGCTTCAACGCCAACGGTCTGGCCATCGTGTACTACGAAGAGGACGACGTATCAGAGCCCACCACGCAGCGTTGGAACGAGACGTCGACAGTCGGTGAGTTCGAGTTCACGCCTGTGAACGTCACCACGTTGCCTGGAACACCGGACGATCGGTTGATCATCGAGTTCCTCTTCCCTGGTATCGGCCAGATCGCAGTCGACGGGAGCGGCTTCAACCAGTTCCTCGTGCCGGAGTTTGCGCCTCTCCTCACTATCGCCGATGGGATGACCACAGCAGAGCTGCCCGTCACGACCATTCCGCGCGAGATTTTCTACGGTGACCACGTGGAGATCGTTCTGGTCAATGAGCAGAACGAACAGCATCCGTTCCATCTGCACGGCCACTCGCCGTGGGTGGTTGGAAGTGGCCAGGCCACGCTGGCTGACGTGCAGAGTAATACTGTCCCCGTTGAAGCTTTCCGGTGCCATGTTTCGCGACGTGTACACTGTTCCAGCCTGTCCGACTGACGACACCAACGCGTGCACGGGAGTTGGATACGTCGTGCTACGGGTGGAGGCGGACAACCCGGGCGTGTGGATGATGCACTGCCACATCGACTGGCACCTGGAAGGCGGTTTGGCCATGATCTTCGTTGAAGGAGAGGCCCAGCTACAACAAGCAGGCGTCGACGCCTTCTCCAACAGCATCTTGAGCGTCTGTGGCAGCAACTTCACCGGAGCTCCGTTCAACACGACCACAACCGTCACCGTACCGTAGTTTTGAGGTCCATTCGTGCAAGAATTGAGAGAGTTTGAGGTCCGTTTGAGATGCTAAAGACCACCAATCGCACCTTTTCACCTTGATGCGTCTCCTTGCCTCTCCTTAACGACCCTGGGTAAAGCTCCATGCGGCCGTCAGCAAGCGTTTATCCCCCGTGTACGCGTCATAAGGATTGCGCGGCGGAGATCTGCTCCACCCCCGCGATTGGCCAAAAACTGTCTTACCGCCTTCAGGTTTCTCGACAATGGACACAGCACTTGATGCTCATGAAGACCAAGCAGTCCGTGACCGCTGTACGTCGCCGAATACAGTGCTTGAACGACTCGGTCCCTTGGCCACTCGCCAATTGACCTCGTGGTGACGGACACCGCGAACCTTTGAAGACTCTACATAATGACTCCTGTTCCTCCCGATGCGAAGGTGTGGCTCGTGACAGGCTGCGCCTCTGGCTTGGGGCGTGAGGTGGTGCTGGCTGCCCTGGCGCATGGAGACTGCGTGATCGCCACGGCTCGCAACCCGGAGCGACTGGCTGATCTCGAGAAGAAAGGCGCTCGGACGCTGGCGCTGGATGTGACCGCCAGCCAAGACGAACTGAACGCGGTGGCGGCCCATGCGCTGGGCATGTATGGAACTATCGACGTGCTAGTGAATAACGCGGCGTATCTGCTTGAAGGCGCCATCGAAGAGTGCAGGTGAGCTCTTCGCGATACCTACTTTTGAAGGGACACTTTTCGGTGACAGATTCTGACTCGATCTGACTCACGATATCTTGATTTTTGTATGTCTCAGTGAGCAAGAGGTGCTGGACCAGTACAACACCAATGTCTTCGGTATGCTGCGCGTCCTGCGTGCTGTATTGCCACATATGCGCGAGAAGCGCTCGGGTGTTGTAGCCAATGTGGGATCGGCTGGTGGTTGGAAGGGGATCCCCGGCATTGGACTCTACGGATCGACCAAGTTTGCCATTGCTGGTATCACGTTGGCTCTTCGCGAGGAAATGGCTCCACTCGGCATTGAAGTGACGGTCGTGGAGCCTGGAGCCTTTCGTACGTCCATCTTGGGCAAGGGTTTCATTCCTGCGAAGACTCCGATCAAGGACTTTGCACCGCTCACGCAGCCGCTGACAACGCACGTTGCTAACTTCAGTGGCAAGCAACCAGGAGACCCCGCCAAGGCCGCGCAGCTCATGGTCGAGGCGTTGACCAAGACTGGACGCTGTAAGGGTAAGGCATTGCCTAGTAGACTTCTTCTTGGCAAGGATGCCGTGAAGCTTGGACAGGGCGTACTAGAGCAGAACAAACGAGAGCTGGATGAGTGGGCAGAGCTGTCGGGGTCGACAGACTTCGCGGACAGCTGCAAGCCGTAGATTCGTCCTCATTAGAGTTAATAAACAGTCGAGTTTAAAGTGTTCACAGAGCTGTAAACCAATGTCGACGTCGTTGAAGATTGCCGAGGTCTTCTGCGAGCCGTGTGATGAGTCCTCCATGTCAACGTCGTTCACGTGAGCCCATAATACTCACGGGATCCATCCAAATCTCACGAGATGCAGACCAGAAACCAGCAAGAATTCGCCGCGGACTCAGGTTCACTTCTTATTTTCTCTGTGCGCAGATACCGCTCGCTTTCTCACTATGACTGAGCGCAAGGTGTGGCTCGTGACTGCGTGCTCTTCGGGTTTCGGCAAGGAGATTGTCCTCGCGGCACTCGCGCGTGGAGACCACGTCATCGCTACGGCTCGAGATGCCAGCAAGCTGCAAGACCTCGTGGACCAGGGAGCCCGCGCGCTTGCGCTGGACGTGACGGCGAGTGATGCCGATCTCAAGAAGGTGGTCGAGAAGGCTCTAAGCTTCTACGGCACAATCGACATCCTCGTCAACAACGCGGCGTTCCTTCTTGGTGGCGCGATCGAGGAATGCTCGGACGAAGAAGCATACAAACAATACAACACAAACGTCTTTGGAGTCCTGCGCATGCTGCGTGCTGTGCTGCCTCACATGCGCGCCAAGAGATCGGGGGTCGTGGCCAATATTGGCTCAGCGAGTGGCTGGTTCGGCCTCAAGACGATGGGCGTGTACGGCTCCACTAAGTTCGCTCTGGCCGGACTCACGTTGGCTCTGCGTGCTGAGCTCGAGCCATTTAACATCGACGTGACGATCATTGAACCGGGTTCGTTCCGCACGGCCATCCTGGGCAAAGGTTTCTCGGCGATGAAGAAGTCCATCCCCGACTACCTCCCAATCACGCAGCCTTTGCACGATCGCATTAACCGCGTGAACTCTGAGGCTGAAGAGGAGAAGCAGCCTGGTGATCCGGCTAAAGGAGCTCAAGTCATCGTGGAGGTGCTCACGAAAACTGGTCGCTGTGTCGGTAAGACGATCCCAAGCCGCATGCTGCTCGGTAAGGACGCTGTGATGATCGGAGACAATGTGTTGACGGAGAACCGACGTGAATTCGACTTCTGGGCCGAATTGGCAGCATCAACGGACCACGACGATATCCAGGCTAGACTGTGAGAAGGTGAAAATGCTTTGAAAAATAGCAAGTAGAAGCGATAAATTCAAGTGAAGAAGTGAATAAAACGAAAGGATTTCGTGGGTCAAGGAGTGTATTGTTTGTTGTTTTACCGTTACCAAGGTACACCTTGTACTACAAGCTCTTCGACCTTCCTTTACCGCGCATTTTGTTGACGCTTGCTTTCGTTGACTTACAGAGTTGTGGTTGTGTTGCTTTCGCCCGCAACGGTGCACTTGGGAAGGACACCTTTCGTCCTCAAGTCTGCAATGATCGACTGAGAAGGGATCCCTCCATTCAGACACCCGCCGCAATGGTGCAACGCGATCACGGTGTTGTCACTCGTCGCAATAATCGGTGAGCCGGATGAACCTTCTTGAGTATCAACGTAGTAGCCCACATCGTCATCGCGGCATTCCGTGACCGTAAGCGATTCAACACGCCCAGGTTGGCCATTGTGGAGCCACGCAATGCGCTTGCCGTAGCCCAGTGGATGCTGAGGAATGTAGATGTCCTCATTCAACACTGCTCCAGTGCCGCGGAACTGCAGATACCCAGTCTTCTCGTACACTCCAGAGAAGTTCGTTAAGCTCATGTTGACCCCAAGACGGACGAGTGCATAGTCCAAATCCTCCGATACTGCTATAAGCGTTGTACCCGCCACACCAGCAGATCCAGGACAACCGCCACGTGTATCACAAGTCTCACTGCCACGACAGCTCTCGGACTCCGCGAAAAACTCCACTTTAGTGTTTAGAGCGTCTTGGTTGTTACCAATACAATGTTGGTTGGTGATCAAGTGACCTTCACAACCTACCAGCCAGCCCGTGCAGTAGGCGATCTCCATACCGTTCTCCTTTATGATTGACAAGCGGGCTACAGGCTGAGACTTAAGCAACATGACTGCCCCTTCCTCGCTGTTGGTTGAGCTAGGAGCACAAGCAGCTTCGACAGACTCGTCAGTGCCACACAAACTCTCGTTATTGATATCGTCATCGTCATCTGTCGCGTTAGCCGTACTGGTCAAGGGTACTTTGATCGCGTCCTGCAGATGTTGAGCTTCTTCCACTAGCTCCTTGGGAGAGAATAGTAGTTCGTTTACTGCGAAGCCTCTGCACGAAGTCGAATTGGCTTTATCTGGAGCTGAGGCTTTGAAAAGCTCCAGAGTGACGCCCGACCCAGCGATACCAGTGGAGTAGAACTTGCCCGTTGCGTTCTTCCCCGACAGCGCTGCCACTGGATGCGAAGTGGCGTCAGACGCTCTGATCACCAACACATCGGCTTCTGGGAGATTGAATTGCTTGAAATGCAGCACGTAGATACCCTTCCCGAGTCCAGGATCAAGTTGCAGACGATAGGAAGGCTCCGTTGCAGTCGCTTTCGGTAGCGCTGAATAGTTGGAGAACTTGCATCCCGCACCGACAAGGAGTTCAACCACGTGGCCCGTAGTCTGCGCGACGACGCCCACAAGTGCAACTGCAGTGAGTAGAATGACAATTGGCCACTGCATCCTGGGGGGCATCGTCCGGCAAATCGGAGAGTGGTGTAACGCATTTGTGAGCAAGTACATTGAGATTGAAAGAGAAAGCGTTGCTATGATGGACGTGTAGTACTGCCGAAGAAACTTACTAGATCACGTGCTTCTGCATCATGTGTCTAAACTCCTCAATATCAATCTTCCCGTCTCCATTACGGTCCATCTGATAGACAAGCTCGCGAACATCTTCGTGATCTAGTACCTCGCCTAGAGTCTCGAAGATTGACACGAACTCGTCCACAGAGATAGCGCCACTGCCGTCGGCATTAATCATGCCGAAGATCTCCTCCACTATACCCTCCTTTGAGAGAGCACTTTCTTGAATCCTCGTGCTGCACCAGTTATGAAATGCCTCGAACGTCACTTCTTGCGGAGTGTCGAGCGACAAACTCCTGCTACTATCACCGCCTTCACTGCTATTACCCACGATCATGAGATCCAACATGAGTCGATTCAGTTGATTTTCATCTAAGTCATGCGTGATGGCAAGTAATAAACTCGCCAATTCACCTCTCGATACTGTGCCAGATCCGTCGACGTCGAAGAGGCAAAAAACGGTGTGGATTTCGCGACGTCGCATTTCTCGATGGTAGGCATCGCCCCGCTTTTCTCGAGATGCATATCTTGAGCTGTTGGAACTATTCGTAGTATCTTTTGCTGTAAATCTTTGAGGAAACTTGAAATTCTTCGCTGTCGCCAATAGTTTTACAATTCCTTCGGTATTATGAAAACGTGAGCTTTCTCGAAGATGAATCTTCATTTCAGCAACAAATCGAAGAGTTCGTAGCGTCTGACGAGCACGCAGTAGTCGAGCTACCAGTACAATTGTCCTTGTGTTCTTCATGTGCTCCACGTTAAAGGCTAAAAGCCCTTCGCGAGCAATTCGTGCAGACATGCTTGGAACTGTGAAGGTGGGGGTGAGGAAGAGGAGATAAAGCACCGTAACCAGTACTTGGCTCCCTCCGTAAAGTTCCTTGATATGCTTTAGCTCACGCAACAAGAAAACCGAGAAGTGAAGAGCTGTGAGCAGGAACACGAGACGTGTCGAGAAGAGAGCAAACTTGACGCCGTCGCCACGCCCACCGCCTAGAATTAGACTCCGTTGGTATTTCTCGAGTTCTTTTGTGGACATCTCTCGTCCTTCATGTGGTAGCTGCTTCAGATACGCCGGAATCAAGTCTTGGCCATCGTCTACCATGCCGTTTGAACTAGTTTGTCCCTCTAACAACCAGGTATTGTTGGTCTGTATGATAGCAAGCGGTGGTAACTCGTGCAAGGCACGCCACTCAGTGTCCCGTCGTACACGCTCAGCATCGTTCTGCAGTCTCGAAGGTGTCAATAATTCCCTCATAGCGTGCACTCGTCGATACACGAAGTCATTCAGCGCGATTAACAGGAATCCAGAAACGGTTAGTATCGCAACTTCCCCGTCCGGCCCGGCAGCCCAACAGCAGACTAGCAACACCACGAGAATTACATCTAGAGCGATCCAAGTTGCCATATCAATCTCGATAAGCCTGCCCATGACTTCGCCAGAGATAATTTTCAGATAGGAGTGAAACGGAAAGCGACAATCTTCGCCTTGTAGCTGGAAATCTCTGGCCAGTTGACGCGCTATTTCTTCATCTGGATGGTTAGAACGATAGTCCATGAATCGTTGACGCAACGAAAGATAAGCCATTTCACGCTCCGCCTTGCGCGCAGCGGCAGATCGTGTCCAGGACAGTCGCTCTAGCCAAAATTGCGAAGGCTCCGTAGCTATGACGTACTCGGATAGGACTGACGGAATATCCACAGCGCTTTTTTCAAACTCAAACCATTCGTGTTGCACTCGTGTCCCGAAGCGCACAAGTGCAAGACAAAGGACGAGGAAAATGACGACGAATAGAAACAAAGTCATGTGCAGCCGCTCGATTATTTCCTTGAGTTCTTCGTCATCCCCGAACAACGTACTCGATAACCGAGGCATCATTTCCAACTGGCTGACCACGAACAATAAGAGACCGATAAACCCTAGCGTTGTCAACTCGTTAAAGACCGACTTCAGGAAGGGTATGTTGGCTTCGTCCGTCGTCTTGTATAGCATCTCCGTTCCGACCTCGAAGAAAATGGAGACTGCGATGAGAATAGTGACTGTGACTGCCGCTACAAGAGTGATTCGCCCGCTATCCGCCTCCGTTTCCTGTTCTACATGCTTGGTGTAGTCCTTGGTTTCTTCCGATGCGTTTACTGTGACGACGTGGACGAATATTAAGACCCAGAGAAGTACTAGCGACCAGAGCAGTCCGTGAGTCCGTCTTGTCATTTTGAGCTTGAATTGCAGAATGAAAGAAAGAACGCGGTGCCAATAAGGCTCGGTCTCCTCGTAACCAGTGGAGCACACTCGGCAATGCAGAGGTAATCACTGGAAATGCATAAACAACAGTTCTACTGGAGTAGAATTTATTTTTTTTCGGCTGTTCACCAGAGTAAACATGTGACGGATGTTACTACCAGATACTTCGAAGTAAGCAACACCCAGCCCTCATTGGCCCAATTCTAACCGCGCACCAAGGCTCAGTCAATGAACTCTGGACTCCAGAGTTCATTGACTGAGCCTTGGTGCAGAGTCTGGAGCGAAGCGTAACAGTAATATAATGATAAAAGTCGAAATGTTGAGTTTGTGTAAAAAGCGGAGGTGGGTCCTTGTTGCTTAAGCTTGTCGTAGCGGAAATGCCACCCGTGCGTTACGTGCATGGGAACACATTCGACATGACGTTAAGTAGAGCTTCGATTTTGCGTTTACTGGTATTAATATTGTTGGCGACTTCGGTGGTTGCCCAAGTGGAGGTGATCATCTCGACATTTGTAACCATTCGAGATTTATAAAAAATGAACCGAGAGAACGCATCCTGTACAAGCAGTTTCAAAATTATTTACTTTGTCGTCAGGACAAGCAGCGGCAAATGTATGCTACAATGGATTGCTTCTTTACAACATCAAACATACAAAGAAAACAAGATTAAACTCAAGAGTGATTGTTTTTGCTGTTAGAAACATGAGGTCACGAACAATTCAACATAAACGTTGAAGTTGGCTATCTGTCAGCTCATCTACAGTTGAGGGTAGACGGACAAGGGGCCGATGATGCCGCACGTGCCGGTGCTTCTGGTGCCGGCGCCGCGCTTGAGTCGCATGTAGCCATCCTCGCCCCACTGCGTGCCCCACGAGTTCTTGATCTTGAAGAAGGACGGCGAGTAGCCCACAGCCAGCACAGCATGGTCGAGCTGCGTCGTCGAGCAGTAGGACACGATGCCGCTCTTGTACTGCTTCCACGTGGGGTTGTCAGCCGCGACACCCACAGCCACGGGTTGAGCGCTGATGGCTTGGACCAATCCGGCATCAGTACGAGGAACTGCCACCACCTTGCGGATGTTCACCGGTTCACGGCTGCAAGACGACTTGCACGTCTGATGATAGCCCAAGTCGCCCGACACGTACGGGTAGGCTTCCTGAGTGCAGACGCCACCGGATTGTTGAATGTAGGTCAATGCGGTGCTGGGCCAGCCTCCGTCACAAGCATACGAAGTCTTGTCGCAGTCCACCACTTGCTGGTCCGACAGAAGCGTGAGAGGCTTGCCAGAGAGGCAAATGGCGCTCTCGAGAGCGGCCACGGCTGCGAATGCCCAGCAGGAACCGCAATCGCCTTGGTTCTTGACTGGAGCAACACACCCCGAAGTAGTCCAGTCTTTGTCAGTAGGGGAAGCAGTCAAGTTCAGCGGCACTTCATCAGCGAACGAAGTGGCCTTGAGAGCTCCAGAGTCGCGTTGGTAGGACTCTCCAATAAATTTGGCAAACTCCTCGTGCGTCAGCAGCGTAAACGGCGTGTCAGTGGAGAAAACTGCATCCGGGTTCGCCGCTTGAGCATCTTCGACCAACAGCTTCGAGAGGAAGAAACGACGCAGTTCCTCGTCGGTCGTGTTTTTCGAGGACGGAGTGGGAAGGAAGCCATGCTCCTTAGCGTACTGCCCAGCCTCGCTTTGCTTCCATGCATTCAACTCGGACCGAAGAGCGGCCCCTTCTTGGAGGAACTGGTCCATACGGTCCGTCGGGACAGCAGGAGCGGCCGCGTCTGCGGTGGTCACAATAGCAGCGAGGGCGAGCAGAAGCACGGTGTTCATCTCGACGTGATAGGGGGGGGGGGGTTGCTGGAAAGTCGCAAATTTGAAAATGAACTTCGGCTCCGAGTCGGAGTTGCAGTGCTCGGAGTCTCCGACCGCGAGTTGTCATGCATTCATGCCGGACAAACTGCGCCAAGATGTCAACCGCTTCAACCACTTCAACTGCTTCAATCGCTTCAACCGCTCAGTCGTAATCAGATTTTGACAGCCAAATTCCCTTGAACTTCCATTACTTCGATTTTAATTCTCTACTCGGTCAACAGCATCAATAGTCGAAGTTTTCACGAGGGTGGCTGTACCCTCTTGGTTAGATCTGATGTGTATAGCTGTAACTACAAGACGATCCCCTTGTAGAGACGGTGGGCGTCATTGCTACCGGGGCCAATCCTAACTCATGCTCGATCATGCTCGACGAATATATCCGTAATTAGGTTTTAATTGCGAGACGATTGCTCGCGCAGCTCAAGCTGACCGCCCATCAGTCTACGCCACCGCGATGTGCATCACTACTTGGGCTGAATGTGTTTTGCGGGATTGCTGTATATAGCTAGTATATACTATATCCAACCTCTACAGTTGTTCTGCTAGGGTCAGGACCAGATACTTTAGTTGACTAGTCTGCACTTTACCCGTTTCTAACAAGCTTACTGAATACCACTTTTTCGTGCACTGCCCTCCCCACTCGTTCGCGGTGCGAATCATGCCTCTCTCGCTGTTCGTCCTTCCTACGCGTCACTTTTGTACCGCTCACCATTTGAACCAGTTGTTGGAGACCCCTATCCGATACCGGTGCACCAATGAGTCGTTGATATACCCCGGTCACCCAGCTATGACTTATCGTTCTACTTTTCTGGACCATCACCGTAGTAGTGACCCAGATCGCGACGATCCGATTACAATGCATAAGAGCAATTTTAGGTTTGTGACAAGCGCACTTACACACGCTAACCTGGGTTGTCTGCTTTCTTGAGATGACCTCCATATCGCTCTAAGATAATTTTAGTGTTTTAAGGCGGCGATTCTTGGCGAGCTCAAAGTAAGTCCAGCTGTCTTTAAATTGAGTGGTGTTGACTCTTTCACATTCAGAAATTGGGTTTTATTTGTTCTGTTTCGGGCAATGATCCCACTCAGACAGGAACATTTCATTTGGTTGCAAATCGTACCACCGATATCTGCTTTTTGAACTGTACAGAAGCGGTTGCTGTTGTGGTTCGTCTTCGACGCCGTCACGCACCAGAAGCAACATGTGAATGCACGCTGGTGGGCTTCCCCACGATCAAGACTTCTGGTGTCAGCAAGATCACGACTCGCTTAAGCGTGGCCTCGAAGTCAATACGCAATGATAGTGAAAGGGTTAACCCTTTTAAGAAGAAGCGCCTCGGTTCTTCATGATGAAACATAGATTTACGGTAGCAACCAGCATCACGTCGAGATGAATCTTGAGCGATCTGCTGTTTGCATTGTAAAAAAGAAGTACAAAGAAGAATCTTTGCCTTAAAATAAAAACGTGGATAAAACTAAGAGCGATAATCATTGGAACGACATCACCCGCTTACGTTGTTGCCTTTAGCACACGATTCTATCCGAATGGATCATCGCTACCACGTTTGTTTGTTGCAGGTAGAATCATATAATTAGCGCCCGCTTTCACGCGTGTATATTTTCGTGGTATGTTATTATCTCCACAGCTAGCAATCAAAGATGGCTATCACAAAGCTACGGTAAGAAACACTCTACGAAAGTACGAGCACAATAATGCACATTTTCGCTGCAAAAAGAATAGTATCAAAAAATGTTAATTTGCAGTTATATTTTTGGAACGTAATTCACTGCATGCAGCACATGGATTTGTTGGAAGCAGGGTCAATAAAGACCTGCTTTATCAGTTGCGATGCAGACGAGGGGGAGATGCTCTTTGCAGGGGCGGCCAAAACGAGAAGTGATGAGGTTGCCGCCCCGCGCAGTTCGAGCAGTTGAGAGCGGAGCTCCCATAGACTGCCCTACTCTGCGTTTATACTAAAGTTTGCAAAGTAACATATCCTATCCTAAATCATATTCTAAAACACAGTAATACCTGTTACACTCACCCCAGAAGTCGTCCGTTCAGGGATAGCCAGCCATTCGGAAATTTGCTCGGGTGAGCCAACACGTTCCTGGTGGCATCTGTACGGCTCCAAAGTATCGATGCTTCGAACGACGCTAGATACGGGCAGAGCTGGTCCCTCTCTGAGATTGCCACCGGTTAGAACCATGGTCCAGCAAAGTTCCAACCAAGGAGTGCTTGTGCCGCCACTTCAGGGAAGCGTGGCGGCC